TCCATCGATTCTTATTTTCCAAATTTGATCTACCAGATGTGAATTATTTTGACAATTTCATCACTCTTCTTTGATATATCTTCATCCATCCTACTTCACCTTATGGTTAAACATCAACGTTTTCTCTTCTTAGGAGGTTCAAGTGAGAACCCACTTGAACCTGTTTGTTCTTTGTTTTTTCAGTAGTATTCCGATGATCACTACTTTCTAAAGTTTCAGAACAATATAAGTTTAAATTATCGTTTGGTTTATTATATGCTTTTTGAATGTTATTCAACGTAGTTAAAAAATTATTTATATTTACTGATCGATCACATAAACAATAGTATTTTTTACATTTGGGACAAAACTGAGTATCCATGAGTTGAAAAATAATTTTTGAAAGAGTTCGAAAGCACTCACGTTTATTCTGCTTTCAACAATTCAAACTGATAAGCGTCCTTAGGCTTCCCCACGTCCTTTTTCCCCTTGTAAACTAGGGAATAAGCTCCAGGAATGAACTCTGCTTCCTTTCCCTCCAGTAGCTCGGTGATCCTTTTTGGTAGAAAAACGACTTTGCTGTCCAACTCTACCAAGACGCTCCTTCCAAATTTCGTATTGACGATGCGTAGTGACAGGATAGGTTGAGCCGTATCAACAGGAAGATCAGATAACTCGACTGTTTCCTTGGCACACAATGAAGCAGAGTTGTTTATTTCTGTAAGATCCATCTAGAATTAGAACACAATATTGTTGTTTCTCAAAATCAGAAATTATGGTTTTTTCAAAACAACAGTTTAACATTGAAATAACTCACCTTGAGGTTGTATGTGGTGCGAGGTACAAGATTCCGATATGGAATGATTTTTCTGCTTAGGCTGCAATTCCTTTATACTGCTAGCTGTTCCGTTCTCCAACTTGTTGGCATTGTACATTCACCATACTTTCTAAATATTCCCCACAATAATGATGCAATTGAGGCGCGTTCCCTTCTGATTATTGCCTTGAACGTTCACCATACACTCCTTCCCATTTCAACATACATTCATAACTACATCAATTCTGACATCCAAACGCCAATCGTGTTTCTGAATGAAGAATTATATCTATACTCACACATTCCATATTTGATACAATCTTTCTTGCATAAGAAACAATGTAGATGTACTCTAATATGAACATAAACTTTGTTACATCGAATTATTTCAAAGTTTTCTTGCATTCTCCTCACAACCCCATCTTCTTCATAACATCTTCTACACAATATAAACCACTTCCTATCCACATAACCATAAAACTGATAATATTTATTGCAACTTGAATAATCAGTCACACAAGTATTATTAATCAAATGATTTTCTAGTGGAGATTCAGGTTGAGGAATATCATACCTTGCACCATATGGTTCATAAGTCACCCTCACATTCGCTTCTTCATCACTCTCTACTTCCTCCACATTCATGATTTCATCCTGACATTCAATCTCATTCCTCACACATCTATATTCATCAATGAAATCAACGGGAACATCTCCTTGAGATGAGGTGCTCACATCATTCACTTGTACTTCGGCCATCTTCAATTGAATCTAACTGCCAACTGGAATAAATCAGTGCTTTTTATACAGAATATCCACTCTCTGAATCATACTCACCTATGATGATGACACGTGACAGTCCTTCCATGAAAAAAATTCCATCAAAGAATGTTCATTTTTGATCAAACCATAGTCCGAAATGGTTGTGCTAAAGCCTTGTTTTATCATTTTGAGTTTCATCCAGCAAAATGTTTTATATATTTCAAGACAATCCAATTTCAAGGAAGTTTTCATATCATTTGATAACAATGGCATAAAAAATGACAGTTGGCCTGCATCGTGGAAAAGAATGGAGTATACATTGGTGAATAATGGATTGCTCTCTAGCTACATATGACATACATTACAAGCAATTCCAGTGAATACAAATTGAGAATTTATTATCAAAATGGTGCTTACGAAGATTCATATGAATGGCAACAACTCAAGGAAATATCACAGACCAATGTAACTCTGATCATCCTGTATTCTATTTTTATGATTTTAGTTTTAACAATATTAGGATACATTGTGAAAAATATTTTTGAATTGAAAAAGCATGTCTATTCGTTCATAGAACCCGATATTGAATAAAATATTGTATACAAAATTTTCAAACCGTATTTCTGTTCAAAAATGAGGAAAAATAATAAATCAATGCATAGTATTTTTTTATTTATTATTGTTATTCCAATTCTGAAACAAACAAAAATTAGAATTTTCCAATCTGTTATAATCAGATCAAAGCATACCTACCATTTGCATACATAACAAAAAATCCCATCTCGTCTTCAATGAAATATGTCATCTGCCATTTTACCCCACCAAATTCTGCAACCCCCAGTGTGCTGCAGTGATTTGGTGGGTCTTCATTAAATAGTACAATTGGTATGTTATCCTATCACAAACCAAAAAATAAATCACTCCAATCATATTAAATTGATAACTTACCTCAAATCCTCCTAGCTTTATTGAAACGAATTCAATGATTATTTTTTCTGAAACAAAAGGTGAAACTTTCAGTTGCATTCAGCCATCAGTGATATTTTAACTCAAAATGACTATCGACATTTTTGAGATGACGAAGAATTTCAACAGCATCAAGATAAGCTCAAGAGAAGAAGAAAAATGGAACCAACAGGGTTTTTTCAATCCGAGACGATTCCAACAAAACAAAATGACCACGACCAAACGAGTTACTTTGAAATGTCCTACTTTTAGTTAATACAATTATCAAATAATACTCTTTGTTTGATTCACTGATCCCTCCCTTAGGTTATATCCAAAATGTACAGTACCCTGAGTACTGCGTTCAATATAGCGGGTCTCAGAATACTTGATACTGTGACAAGCAGGAGAATTCTCCCCGGCTCATTTCTGAGATGCTTCACCACCTGATTCTGAGATCGCAAGAATTTCCATATTGAAACCATATGTCCATAAAACATATAGAGCGATTCTAGTATCAAGAAACCATAAGGCTGTTCTGAGATCATTGATCTCTGAATCGACCTAGGATCAAATAATACATAGGTCGATTCTAGTATCATTGATCTCTGAATCGACCTAGGATCAAATAACACATAGGTCGATTCTACTATCATCAGTCTCTGAATCGACCTATATATGTTATTTGATCCTAGGTCGATTCTAGTATCCAAAAACCATAAGATCATTGATGTTTGAATCGACCTACGATCAAATGGAACATGAGGCTGTTCGATAGATCATTGATACTAGAATCGACCTAGTATCAAATAACACATAGGTCGATTCTAGTATCTTGATATTAGAATAGACCTTGCTTATCTACTAATGTTGATTTAATGTTGAGTTAATGTTGAATAATTATTGAGTTAATGTTAAGTTGATGTTGAGTCAATGTTAGGTTAATTTTAAGTTAATGTTGAGAAACTATTAAATTTATGTTAAGTTGATGTTAAGTTAATGTTAAGTTCATATCAAGTTAATGTTAAGTTAACGTTAAACTAATGATGTCATTTAAATATTGAAATAAAATTAAATGATAATGATATCACCTTCATGTGATCGATTATGATTAGAAAAATGATCCCTACTCTGGTCTTATGAACACTCATGACATATAATATAAATATTTGTGGTCGTAGGAAAAATAGTGTACAAAACTCGTTGGAAAGTGCATTTCCTGCGCTCGTTTCGTTTCCGCACTCGCCGCTCTGCGGCTCGTGCTAAACGTCCACTCGCGCTAAATATGTCACTTTCCACACTAGTTACGTAATATACTATTCCATTCATCCGGATTGGTCAGAAGCTACACATGTATTTTTAAGGGTTGATAGAGTTAAGAAATCACTGAAGCAGCCGTATACAGGTCATCACAAAGTTTTAACCAGAAATGGTCGTAACTTTATTATTGAAGTTAATGGAAGACACGTAAATGTTTATATAGATCAGCTGAAGCCTGCGTTCAAAGCTCGGAACTTTGAAGGGTTATCAGTAGGTTGCTCCAGGAAAAATAGTGGACCATGAGCAGGTCAGAGTTTGGGGAAAAATATAGACATTCACTCATAATTTGTTATTAGTTTTAATAAGTGAAATTTATACAACTGTTATCCATAGTATCATACATATTATTTTAGAGCGAAAACGAATAACAAATTCAAACGAAATAAATTATACAAGGTGTATCATAAAAAAGAAGAAAATGAGCACGCCACTGGATTCTGTGCAGAATTCTGTTAGACGTAGTTCTTAGCGCAACATTATTTCTAAAATCACAGTCTCAACCAAAATGGGAAGCACTGTTCGTACAACATTTTAGTATTTATTGTAATTTCACCTAATGAATATGAATTTTTAAGGTTGATAGATATTTCAGATATAAATAATTGTACAAATCTTATATTTCGTGGAAAATAGTTTATTGAAAATATCGTAGCAGAGCGCTTTTCAGCTATAAAGCCATCATCAAACCATGACAATTCGTTGTCAACCTGACGCTTAGAAGCCGAAAGCGCTCTGTTACGATATTTTGAATAAACTATTTTGCAAGAGATAGAAGATTTGTACAATTATTTGTATAATACACGTAAGCCAATACAAAAAGTACAACATTTCCGAAATATAAGCTGAAAAGAGAAGAAAGTAAAAAGGAATAGAGAACTAGCAATAGGTATACCAACATAAATAAATCCATTGATGTCGTAGGGAAAGTGGAAAAACATTAAGATATCAATATAAATTGATAATACTCATGTGAATAATTCATCATAAAAAATATCTTGAATGTTTGTAGATCACCTTCGCTCTTCCCTTCAAAATTTGACGTTTGCTCTGCGCAATCTAGCGGCGATTTTTGCGAATAATTTCCACAGGCGGCCATGTTGGAGTCAAGTGTTCTGGATATCCTTATGTAGGTTTGACTGATTGAAAATCGACAGGAACATGTAAAATCCAACTTCCATCACTCCCCTTCATGTTCACATTCTTTTTCGTGTTGAGAAAGCAGTTCTAATCTTCCAGTTAAAGCACAGCCGTTTTTTGAAAATATACAAGCAAGCACCAATTCGTCAGCTAAGTTTTCCAATGGAAAATTTCTCAATCCGCCAAGTTTTGTTCTACAAGAAGGGCATTCAGTCAGTTTGGGTTTGCAGGCGTCGCACAATACGTGCCCGTTTTCGCAGTTATATATTTTACTGATCATGTACTCCATGCATATAGGACAACGTAATTGTTTCTTCAAACATTTGTCATTGACGTTCATATCATTCCTGAGGCTTATTCCTGTTGCAGTATCCCACAATGGAATAATCTTTTTCTTCGGGACGATTCTTATTGTGAATCTTATCTTCAAAGAATCGCCAAGAACAGGTTTCATGAGAGTGAGATTAATTGTTTTGAAATGATTATATACAGGAATATCGTGTTGTATTTTCGTATGGGGATAAAAAGTCAAATCGCATCCACCATTCATACATCTGAGACAATGATTCTTCTCATCATATTTACTGATGGGCTGATTTTCATATGTGACAGAGGTATTGTTATTTGCGCAGGATAATTTCAAATCGTATGTAAAATTTTCATCGATTTCTTCTAAGGAAGCGACATATACCTGCGCCAATCTAGGTGTTTTTATGATCATCATAATGAAATTATGAGGACGATAACCAAGACCACTGAATGTTAAAAATGATACGACACTTGGTGATAGAAAGTATGATACAATAATGTTGAAACTGTTGTGGAATATTTTGTCGGTATGAAATCTGTGGCAGTGCGAATCCACGTCGCGCACCTGAATAATTCCATCACATTCTTCGTAATAGATTGGACATTTGATGGTCTTTTTATCACAAGCGTCTTCATGTCTTTCCACCTCTTTCCACGGCATAATTTTACTGCAATCTTTGTACATGCAAGGAACTGAGGAAAACATCGCCACATTTTCGAAAGCGAAATTTCTGCAAATCGATGGTCTGTCATTGTTATTTTTACATCTTCCGCATTTCAATTGTTTTCCGTCTTCAGAAAGCACCATTATCGGTGGCACTGTCAAAAGATTCTCGCAGAGACAGCACTTCAATGATATGATCGCATTTCGAAGTTCCACTAATTCAGCCATAATTTTCTGAAAAAATCAAATATACAAGATGATTTTGATATACAGTGTGTCTCACTCAATGAATTCGATAAAAACATCTAGAAGGGAGACGGCCGTTTTCTCGAATAACACAAAGTGTGTCAGGGGCAGTTGCAACAAAGATAGCATATTTCACGGTAACCTCCCAGTAAGCACAAGACGTCTTCAAGATGTCTGAATTATATCCTATCTTAGTCTGTACGTCTTACTCCCTGAATAAGACATCTAAAAGATGTCATCATTTAGACGTTTTAAAGATATCTGTTTCTCACGTCCTGAATACGTCTTAAAGACATCGTAATGATAAAAATGAGCAATGATATTTGGTATATTATTATAATAAGTATAAATCATAATGAATTTTAGTGTGTCATATCTGAACGTTCTCTACTCTCAGAATTCCTGAATTCAACACTAAGTTATGGTTCTGTTCTCATAATATATGCGTTAAACTCTGAATAAAAAATATTCAGTCTTATAGAATATTTTTTATTTCATAATTTTTATAACTTTACGTAATACAGAGGTTAGATTGTTCAGAGTAAGTTATGTTATGAATCGGATGGGAAGATTTGAAAATACCGCCATGCCAAACGAAATTGAGATCGTTGCGCCAGAGCCAGAACGGCTAATGCCGGTACTAAAGGGCTTTCACGCTGGGTTGATAGTGACGTCAATATGTCAACACATACAGTGTTGCCAGTTGAAAGGAAATGACTGAATGACCAACCGCCCGAATATGAATATGTCTAGTGTTACGATCGTCGGACGTTATAATGTTTTTTGGAACCAACTCAAAAGCCGTCCATTTATGTTTCAAAATCAGCACTCGAAGTTGATAAATGAACTTCAATATTTGTATTTAATCCACCATGCACCTAAACAATATACTGAATATGAAATTCAATGATAATGAAATTCTTATAAAGAATAATAACTTGAAGAATGATTTATTATATAACAACATCAACAAATAATCACATATATTGACATTAAAAATAACTTATTTTTCTACCAATCACAATTATGTCTCGAATTAATTTTTTTAAATAAAACTGATCAGTATTCACATTTACTGAGTGAAAATAATAAAAACTTTGAATTCAATTTTGAGGTTATCTAATCGTTTTGAATGTCTTTCAATTACTGTAAATTGATGAAATGAAATAGAAATTCGATCAATTGATTTTATTTCGTGGAAAAATGAATAGTGGTGCATCAACTTATATTGGAAATTATGAAATACCAAAGAAGGGAAGAGTTGTATTTCGTGCAAGATAATTTATTCAATATTCGTAGCAGAGCTCTTTCGACGGTTAAGTGAAATAGACAACAAGAGTTGTTCTTACTTCAATATTCTCAATATAATTCATGAGGAAAACCCACAAAAACTCATGAAACCACTATGTCATTACAATAAACTAACACAAACCATATTATTGGATCATTCGGACAATACAAAATATCATTATTAATACCATCATTCAACTTACATCTCTCACAGCAGTCATTGGAAGTAATGGACCATCTTCTGCGCCTACGCACTCAATGGTTTAGGCCTTTTGAATCAATCGAATTTCACCTATGATCCACAAATAAATCACAAACAATTCCTTGAAAGTACAAATTTTCAGTAATGAATAATTCGTAGAGATCAGCTGATCACAACAAATCGCTTCCAGTAATGTCAAATAAATCTGGCATCGGTGCACAGTCTTGCCAACTTAAATCGATAGCGCGGTTCGCCCATTTCGAAAGTTACTAGTATTTTTCGAGATGCAGTTTTGGCACGACATTGTTACCAAGTAATGCGCAACTATATCAACCCAGCGTGAAAGCCCTTTATTTGAGCACGCCAAAATAAAGTTCTTATTAATTGTGAAGAACTTCAGCACTCAACTTTTTGTATCCCCCATCCTCATTATCATTTTTCTGTGAATTTGTTTCAAAAATATTTCTTGGGTGGTACTCTGATCACAGCTTAATAAGCTGTGCTCCTGGTATTATTGCCTACACCTAGACAGCACACGACTTTCCGAGGACATATTACGTCCGATTCAGGTCCGTACGTCCAGTAACCTTATATGGACGTCCTCAGAACGTACCATCCCCTACGTTTTCAGGAGGTCCATTTTTAGTCTTAAATTTTTCCATGTTCATTATCCACTTTATATTCATTATATTTTTCATTGATGAAAAGACATTGCCAAATGTGATCAAATGGAGTAGTAATAAGGCCCTTTGGTGTTGGCTGCCGATCATCTGCCGATTCATTTGATAATAGGTCAGAATTAAGTGATTTTTTTGTGGAGAAATTGAAGTGAATCCAAACCTTATCGGATGCCGATTTCGAAGGATATGAAGATGAATTTATATGCACATTCTTCGTCCTGTCCTATATCTGACCAATCAGAACATTCAGTCTGATTCCATTCCGTGGGGTGTTTCTACACTCAATCTATATGTAATGTTTTCTTCTTACTTGCATGTTTTGAACTGTTCAAACTCAACGGTTTTTTTATGTAGGCTAGTAAGCTTTGGGTTCTTTTACACTTAGACTATTTTCCATATAAGGGCATGCTGTTGATTGTCAAATATGATTGGCTTAAAAGTGTCTCGCCAAATATTTCAAGTAGGTCTAGAAAACCAAATGTGAGCATACATTACATCTGTTTTATATATATTTTTGGCTAAGTGCAAGCGTCCCTTCTGGGCTCTGGCACCAATTCGAGTTAGTCAGTACTGTTTTTAAGAAGCTGTCGTATAGGCATACACGAATTCGGGTTGTTCCCTGTATACATCACATCAGTCGGAGTTAATTAATAAATGTAGTATATTAGTCAACTAGTGTTTTATTGATCAGTATAAATCGAGTAGAAAAAATACCGTCTATGACAGACAAGATCGCACATGGTCCTTCGAGAACGGATTATAAATCAGTAATTAGCTCTTATATATCGTGAGCGTGAGTGATTATTGAGCGTGAACGGAACGAGGTAGTGATGATTAGTGATCGTTATACTAATCATCATACGGGGGATTGAGGTTGGATCGAATACTTCAATCAAAGGCATATTCGACAGACCGGTCGAATTATCACGAGATCAAAATCATCATCGCAGCATATCATCAAATCGATCAAGTTCCTATTGTGGGAAACAGAAACAATAGAACAACCCAGAACGAAATTTACATCAGTAGCAGTTCCAGGATCGGGAACAGAAGCAACGAACAAACGTACCAACATCAGTAGCAGTCCCAGATCGGGGGCGTCCATCAACAAATATATCGACGCCATCAGGAGAAATCAAACGCCAGACCACATCGACCACGGGATACCAGACCGCCCACACCTTTCCATACCCTACCTTATTGACCGCTTCGACCAGTGAAGTCAGTAATAATTTTTGATATTGAACGTTATAGTTAAAAGAGATTTTTTGATAACTAGAACTAATCATGTCTGAAGTAGAGATTCAGACAGAGTTGGAAAACTTGTCGATACAGAAGGATAGTCTTTTAGCGGACTTAACAGAATTTGAGGAATTTATAGATAATTATACAGAATCACGAACAATTGAACTTCAAGTAAGGTTAGAGAAAATGGATGAGTCATACCATGAATTCAATAGTATATTAAGTAGGATGGAACGTTTGAAGGGTACTGGGTTGATACAGGAAAGAAGACAGTTTAAAGATTCATTTTTTTCTGCAGTGGCTTCGGCAAGACAGTTAATATTTGCACATAATATGAAACACACAAACTTGTCGAACGTAGTTCAATCACCATCGGGTGAAAGATTTAAATCAAAGGTTAGTCTTCCAAAAATCACATTGCCTAAGTTTTATGGGGATTATGAACATTGGGTACAGTTTAGGGATACATTTATGAAGTTGGTGCATGAAAATGATGATTTGGACGATATACAGAAGTTCTACTATCTCCTTGATTGCATAAAAGGAGAGGCAGAAAAGGTATTACAAGCTTTTCAGGTATCTAGTGCTAATTATAAAAGAGCGTGGGAAATTTTAGAGAAAAGATTCGAAAACAAACCGGCAATTATTCAAACTCACCTGAAAGCTTTAGTAGATATGTCAGTCATGAATAAGGAATCATTTTCAGCATTTTGGAAATTTATCGATGATTTTAGAGCGTTAGAGGCATTGAATGAACCTGTAAAAACTTGGGATAGGTTACTAATATTCATATTGGCTAGGAAATTAGATAACGATACGAGAAAGGACTGGGAAGAAACTAGCATAATAAAACATAAGGGTTTACCAACCTTCAATGAGTTCACTAGTTTCTTATGGGATAGATGTCAGGTGGACAGGTGTTAGAATCCACATCAGGTGGAACTGCGACGAATAAATATTTCCAAAAAAATAGATATCATGAAAAAGCATTTGCTCATGTAGCAACGACGAGTGGCGTAGTAAAATGTTATTATTGCAAGGGGCTACATTTCATATACACTTGTGAAAAATTCAAGTCTTTCTCACCAGGAGATAGAGCGAATGAAGCCCGGCGATTAAAATTATGTACAAACTGTTTGAGATCGAATCATTTGGTGAGGGATTGTATTTCGGAAGGATGCAAGATTTGTGGTCAGAGACATAACACCTTGCTGCATTTTGAAAGATCAACACCCTCCTCAAGTAATGTTGCCTCGAGTATAGTAATGCAATTACTAGATCAACTACAGACCCCAGGCCTGAAGTTGCAATGCATGCAACTCAAGTAAATCTAAATATCCATATTATTCTGTCCACGGCCATAGTCCTAATTCAAGATTGCCGCAATTATTGGCATCAATGTCGAGCATTGCTAGATAACGGGTCGCAATCAAATTTCTTTACCACAGAGTTAATGAAAAAACTTGGATTGGAAGTGAGTAGAATTCACCTGCCGGTGGTAGGGGTGAATCAAGTAACGACCAATATCAATCGAAAGACGAATGTCAATATAAAATCAATGTACAATCAATATCAATCAAATGTTTTATTTTTAGTAGGTACTTGATAATATAACATCGAACATTCCATTCGAGTCCTTCGATTCTTCAGATATAACAATACCCGAAAATATAACGCTAGCAGACCCAGGTTATTATAACGTATCCTCAAACATAGATAAAATCATAGAAATCATCCATTTTTCTCAAAGTGGTCCAATTGATTTTAAAGAAAAAACAATTAAAAATCTCAAAGTCTGTCGACCACAAAATCATTTAATAAGCGACGTGTTACTAGTTTCGGCCACAGGCCATCATCAGACACAAAATTGATGTAATATATGAGTACCTAAAATATAATGATAGACAATGTTATGGGGTAAAAAGAGTCATACAATCATATACTAACCTTATAACATCATATTGAGAAAAATATTAGAATTGAAAAGCTAAGTCCAAAAATTCAGTTGACAGTCCAGCAAATTCAAGTAGTTTTTAATCTGCAGAATGTCCAGTGAAACCAAATTAAAATTGGGTTATTGGCGAAGTACATCAGAAACTAATTATTCAAAAATTCTCTCACGTGAGATTCATCAAGAAATGCGAAAAGCAAATGGAAGCTGAGATAGAATTCAAGGGACCAGAAACATCATAAATCACAAGGAAATAAATAGTCGAAGAATGAGTGACACATGTCAAAGTCAACCGGAACTGACATGAAACTAATAACTGAGGTGGTGACACAGAATATGACACCGACAAGAGACGTCAATATGATGAATTAATTAACAATAACCAAAACAAAATCTAAATTTGAAACAATGAGACCAAGAGATTGGGAGAAGAATAACAGTAGATCAATCTGGGTTATGTTGATCATATTTCAATGATCAACATAACCCAGATTGATCTACTGTTATTCTTCTCCCAATCTCTTGGTCTCATTGTTTCAAATTTTGATTTTGTTTTGGTTATTGTTAATTAATTCATCATATTGACGTCTCTTGTCGGTGTCATATTCTGTGTCACCACCTCAGTTATTAGTTTCATGTCAGATCCGGTTGACTTTGACATGTGTCACTCATTGTTCGACTATTTATTTCCTTGTGATTTATGATGTTTCTGGTCCCTTGAATTCTATCTCAGCTTCCATTTGCTTTTCGCATTTCTTGATGAATCTCACGTGAGAGAATTTTTGAATAATTAGTTTCTGATGTACTTCGCCAATAACCCAATTTTAATTTGGTTTCACTGGACATTCTGCAGATTAAAAACTACTTGAATATGCTGGACTGTCAACTGAATTTTTGGACTTAGCTTTGCAATTCTAATATTTTTCTCAATATGTTATAAGGTTAGTATATGATTGTATGACTCTTTTTACCCCATAACATTGTCTATCATTATATTTTAGGTACTCATATATTACATCAATTTTGTGTCTGATGATGGCCTGTGGCCGAAACTAGTAACACGTCGCTTATTAAATGATTTTGTGGTCGACAGACTTTGGGATTTTTAATTGTTTTTTCTTCAAACATAGATATATATTGATA